TAATTAAATTATAAAAAATTAAGTTTTAATAGATAATTTTATAATTATATTAATTATTTAGTGCTCTCTATAAAAATCATAGATAAAAAATTTTAAAATAAGACTTATAACTTTATAAATAAAATTACTAAAGGTTTACTATGGTTTTTTATGACTTTTAAAAAAGATAATTTTAAAAAAATTATCAAATACATAAATATCAAAAAAATACTCTACGACTACACAAATATACGAAAAGACCTTCGAACCAAGGTTTTGAAAATCGGACCGGATTGGCTGATTGAACCGTTGGACCGACACCTGATGTAAAAAAAAATCGGTTGAATATTTCAAACCGTTTAAGCTATTGAACCGCTTAAACCACTTAGACCATCCAAACCGATGAGAATCAGTAACCCGTCAAACCGACCGGGTCAACTCTTGGGACAAAATCCTCACAAATTTGTCTACTTGACACCCGGTCTACTACCCGATCTATTGCCTTGTGGTTTCAAACACCAGGTCTCATGAAGGGTAAGCAAGCCATTTGCCATTTGGCCACCCCATGTCTTGTGAAGTAAGTTGCAAAGAATATCTTTTAAAGAATGCTGTAAAGATTTTAAAGGGAAAATGAGTTCGGTAAAGTTTGAACACTAGCCCTCTTGGATGCTCAACTAGATTCATGCCACTTGATCTGATTCAAGGTTGTTGTCAAACCATGCATTAAGATATATTTATGGTAGAATTACATAAATTGAACAATTTTGTCACTTGTGGGATTCGAACTATGATTCTCCTCAATAAAATTAAAAGTTCCAACCATCAGCACCATAAGAAATTCTTTGACATAAGTTGCATTATATTTAATTTAATATATATTTTCAAAATTTAATCAACCCAATTTTTTCATCGGTTAAACCGGTTGAACTATTAAAATCGTGAACCAGAGGTCCAAATGGTTTGACCTCCGGTTTGATTTTGAAAACATTGCTTCAAACACAATCCCATACGCATCCTATGTGGCACGGAAAGATTGCGCAAGGACTAAGGGGATGTGCCCACGTGGATGGAGGATCCAAGTTGTGATTTCGGGGCCCCATATCACTATCTCGGACTCCCCCGCCCCACAAGCCTCCAATGCATCATTGGGGCTGCGACTTGTAAAGCCGTTCGGCCCACAAAGCCCATTCTGCCAACTACGCCGACTGGAATTTGTAGACCCCACAATCATGTTTTTATTCTTTTTTACACTACATATTTTAAACAGTGATATATGCATAATTTTTTTATATTATTTCTTTTAATACAATTTTTATATTTATTAAATGAATTAATATATTTAATATCAAAAATTTTAAATAAATAAATAAAGTTGAATACTTTAATAACACGTCAAATTATATAAAAAAATAGTATAAAAAATTATCCTTAAAACATTTTCCACTTGTTTTTTTCCTCAAATTATTTGAGAGACTTTTCCATTTTGAAAAAAAAAATGAAGAAGCCTCAACAAATCCACCTTGCAAACTTGTTTCTTTAATATTTAATTTTAGGTTAAAACCAGTGTCTTGAAACTTGAACCGGTGATTGAATCGGTTTACTCATCGATTTTTGGTTTGGTCGGTTCGGTTCAATCGATCGATGACCGGATCAATTAAAAACTACCAGAATTTGCAATCCTGGGTTTTTTCGGTGAAATTCTGCTATTGTTTTTAGACTTTTTCCTTGCAATTTGTACCAACTACAAGTTCAAAAATTCAATAAATAGATAAGAAAAAAAAGTGTCATGCAATTACAAATCTTAAAATTGATAAATCTCACATCGATCTGCTGCCTGCTGCTATTGCTTACTGTTGCCTGCTGCCGCTTGCTGTTGCCTGCTGCTGTTGCTTACTGCCGCTTGCTGCATATCGAGACGATCTTGCTGCATATCGAGACGATGAACGCCGATTTGCTGCTTGCTGTTGCTGCTGCCTGCTAGATATCGATCTGCTACCTGATCTGTTGCCTTGTGGTTTCTTCTTTGTCGGGAAAATGATGGAGACTGAAGAACAAAGACTAGAGAGTGGAGAAGCTAAGAAGGAGAATCGATGGATGATGACGACTGGAGAATGATTTTTTCGATTTTGTTTTCTGGAGAATGAAAGCGTTAATGAAATTATGAGACCCCAACAGTGGGAAAAAGAAAAAAAAAAGTTGCAAAGTTCTACGTCCAGCCGAAACAATTCACCCGGCGGGTTTACCTGGTCTACTGGGCTAGACAGTTTGAACGACTTTGTCAGGTTTGGACGGTTGGGCCGTCCAAACGGGCCTGGGTTTCAACCCAGCCCGTTTTTGCCACAGGTGGCGGTCGAACCAATCGGTCCAGTCCAAGTTTCAAAACACTGGTTAAAACCTCATTTTGATTTTTCTATTTTAACAAAAAACTCTTTTTTAGTCTTTCTACTTAAGAAAATCTCTTCTCAATCACTAAA